CTCAGTCACGGACGCTTAATTATGGACCAAAACAAGACACAAAACAGCAGAGAACAGATATTATGCAAGTTCCAATGCTACAGTGAAATTTCCATTTGAGTGAACACTTTAATGAACACTTTTATTTGCAAGTTAGTTTAGAAAAAATGAATGTTCGTTCTAATACACTAATGCTCGAAAGCTCGCAAGTGCAATCAAGCAGGAACAAACTGTTTGAATCATAAATTAAAAACCTATGCTTTGGAAAGAATATGCTCGAAAAGCGTACCAGATAATTTTAACTGCATTTAGAAAAAAAACGGATAATTAGCCCACAAATGTTAGCACGAAAATCAAAAATTTTTAAATACATTTCAAAAATTAAACACATCAAATTCGCTAAGAAGTAGTTTTACATTTTTATTTTCAGGAAATTGAGCATGTCTTAGCAGCAGCAGAAAGTGTAAAAAAAAAACAAAGTTTGGGGGGGAAAGTCCCAATTCCCACAAAGCTTGCTGGGAAAAGTCATTTGATCTCGCAAGTAAAAACATGATAACTTATCAGATTCATTATCGAATCATAACGCGGTAAATACTCAGTCACGGACGCTTAATTATGGACAAAAACAAGACACAAAACAGCAGACAACAGATATTATGCAAGTTCCAATGCTACAGTGAAATTTCCATTTGAGTGAACACTTTAATGAACACTTTTATTTGCAAGTTAGTTTAGAAAAAATGAATGTTCGTTCTAATACACTAATGCTCGAAAGCTCGCAAGTGCAATCAAGCAGGAACAAACTGTTTGAATCATAAATTAAAAACCTATGCTTTGGAAAGAATATGCTCGAAAAGCGTACCAGATAATTTTAACTGCATTTAGAAAAAAAACGGATAATTAGCCCACAAATGTTAGCACGAAAATCAAAATTTTTTAAATACATTTCAAAAATTAAACACATCAAATTCGCTAAGAAGTAGTTTACTTTTTATTTTCAGGAAATTGAGCATGTCTTAGCAGCAGCAGAAAGTGTAAAAAAAAACAAAGTTTGGGGGGGAAAGTCCCAATTCCCACAAAGCTTGCTGGGAAAAGTCATTTGATCTCGCAAGTAAAAACATGATAACTTATCAGATTCATTATCGAATCATAACGCGGTAAATACTCAGTCACGGACGCTTAATTATGGACAAAAACAAGACACAAAACAGCAGAGAACAGATATTATGCAAGTTTCAATGCTACAGTGAAATTTCCATTTGAGTTAACACTTTAATGAACACTTTACTTTTATTTGCAAGTCAGTTTAGAAAAATGAATGTTCGTTTTAATACACTAATGCTCGAAAGCTCGCCAGTGCGATCAAGCAGGACCAAACTGTTTGAATCATAAATTAAAAACCTATGCTTTGGAAAGAAAATGCTGGAAAAGCGTACCAGATACTTTAAAATGCATTTAGAAAAAAAAACGGATAATTAGCCCACAAAAGTTAGGACGAGAATCAAAACCAAAACTTTTCAAATACATTTCAAAAATTAAATAACACAAATTCGCTCAGAAGTATTTTTACTTTTTATTTTGAGGAAATTGAGCATGTCTAAGCAGCAGCAGAAAGTGTAAAAAAAAAGAACGTTTGCGGTGAAAAGTCCCAATTCCCAGAAAGCTTGCTGGGAAAAGTCATTTGCTCTCGCAATTAAAAACAAGATAACTTATCAGATTCATTATCGAATCATAACGCGGTAACTACTCAGTCACGGACGCTTAATTATGGACCAAAACAAGACACAAAACAGCAGAGAACAGATATTATGCAAATTCCAATGCTACAGTGAAATTTTCATTTGAGTGAACACTTTAATGAACACTTTTATTTGCAAGTCAGTTTAGAAAAAATGAATGTTCGTTCTAATACACTAATGCTCGCCAGTGCGATCAAGCAGGAACAAACTGTTTGAATCACAAATTAAAAATCTATGCTTTGGAAAGAATCAGCTGGAAAAGCGTACCAGATAATTTAAACTGCATTTAGAAAAAAAAACGGATAATCGGCCCACAAATGTTAGGACGAAAATCAAAATTTTTCAAATACATTTCAAAAATTAAACACATCAAATTCGCTAAGAAGTAGTTTTACTTTTTATTTTCAGGAAATTGAGCATGTCTTAGCAGCAGCAGAAAGTGTAAAAAAAAACAAAGTTTGGGGAAGAAGTCCCAATTCCCACAAAGCTTGCTGGGAAAAGTCATTTGATCTCGCAAGTAAAAACATGATAACTTATCAGATTCATTATCGAATCATAACGCGGTAAATACTCAGTCACGGACGCTTAATTATGGACAAAAACAAGACACAAAACAGCAGAGAACAGATATTATGCAAGTTTCAATGCTACAGTGAAATTTCCATTTGAGTTAACACTTTAATGAACACTTTTATTTGCAAGTCAGTTTAGAAAAATGAATGTTCGTTCTAATACACTAATGCTCGAAAGCTCGCCAGTGCGATCAAGCAGGACCAAACTGTTTGAATCATAAATTAAAAACCTATGCTTTGGAAAGAATATGCTGGAAAAGCGTACCAGATAATTTAAACTGCATTTAGAAAAAACGGATAGTTAGCCCGCAAATGTTAGGACGAAAATCAAAATTTTTCAAATATATTTCAAAAACTGAACACATCAAATTCGCTAATAAGTAGTTTTAATTTTTATTTTCAGGAAATTGAGCATGTATTAGCAGCAGCAGAAAGTGTAAAAAGAGAAAGTTTGCGGGGGAAAGTCCCAATTCCCACAAAGCTTGCTGGGAAAAGTAATTTGCTCTCGCAAGTAAAAACATGATAACTTATCAGATTCATTATCGAATCATAACGCGGTAACTACTCAGTCACGGACGCTTAAATATGGACAATAACTAGACACAAAATAGCAGAGAACAGATATTATGCAAGTTCCAATGCTACAGTGAAATTTCCATTTGAGTGAACACTTTAATGAACACTTTAATTTGCAAGTTAGTTTAGGAAAATGAATGTTCGTTCTAATACACTAATGCTCGCCAGTGCGATCAAGCAGGAACAAACTGTTTGAATCATAAATTAAAAACCTATGCTTTGGAAAGAATATGCTGGAAAAGCGCACCAGATAATTTAAATTGCATTTAAAAAAATCGGATAAGTAGCCCACAAAAGTTAGGACGAAAATCAAAACCAAAATTTTTCAAATACATTTCAAAAATTAAATACCTCAAATTCGCTATGAAGTAGTTTTACTTTTTATTTTCAGGAAATTGAGCATGTCTTAGCAGCAGCAGAAAGTGTAAAAAAAAAGAAAGTTTGCGGGAAAAGTCCAAATTCCCAGAAAGCTTGCGGGAAAAGTCATTTGCTCTCGCAAGTAAAAACATGATAACTTATCAGATTCATTATCGAATCATATTAAAATTAATGCTGCCGATTGTTCTAAAAATACCAAGACAAAGTAGTAAGAGAAACATCCTGTGTTGAATGGGCATTAAAAGTTCAAAACTTCAAGCTTACGCTTACGCTTACGCTTAGCAAATTCTGAGTTGATGAATCCGAAAATACCAAAATCTAATCCACAAAATTTCAAGTGCTTGTAAAAAGCTCGACACGTACGCATCTATCATTGAAAAGTAACTAAAATATTAACTAAACTAAAAACCTAAATGAAAAGTTTACCCAACTGAGAGAAAAGGTTGAAAGAGAAATAAATTGCAGTAGAAAGAACAAGCTTTATAAAATTTGGCATCACGTATTGATAACTCATGGCAAATTCATAAGTTTTTGAATATTGTTGATATTTTTTTTGGTAACAAAAGCCTGATATGAGCAACACTCTTTACGAGTTTTAAAAAATAAATTGACTCTACGGGAATCGAACCACAGACCTCAAGCATCCAAGTCGCAAGTGTAATTACAGAGTTTTGACTTGCGCATTTCCTTTTCTGTGAAATGTTTTCATTTTATTAGGTTTACTAACTTCTTTGTTAGCGCTGGTGTATGCTATACCAGGACGGACGTATTTCATTATATTATTGGTGATTCACGACAATACCCAAGTGAAAACACAATTATACTTATATATTTACTATTTTTTAACTGATTATGCTGAAATATATATTTTTGAGAAAAAAAAAAGCTGAAAACATGTAGCAGTAGCGGATCTACGATATTCTCGAGAGGGGTGCGGCGGCTGTTCAAACACAGAGGCGAAGATGAGCCTCGCACCACTTGCGATACAACAATTATAGGATGAAAGCAACATGACGCTCAAGAGTTTCGAACGATGTTACAATTGTAGGAAGTGGAAAAACGAAAGAAAAAGGAAGTAATTTTTTCATTTTCGTTTTAAAATTTATTTAACTGGTGCCGGTTTTTACCTGGTGCCGGATTCTTATCAATGTATAAAGTGCTACCTGACATTTTAAGATAAAAAATAAACGTCAATAAGTTCTATAATTATACAAAAAAATTGGAGTTAATAATATAGCATGTAAGTGTAGTATTTGGTTCCCAGTAGTTAAATTTGACTTTTATGAAATTGAGCAAGTCAGCCGCATCGAGGGTAAGTGTCAATATTCAAATGACACTTAACCCCTTAAAATTAATATACAATGGCGCCAGTGTCGGTGAGCTAAAAAAAAATTGATGTCTTAAGATCCAAGTGCCAAAGGTGGGACGCTCTGAAAGGCCAGATGTCAAATCCCAGAGTGAGCGGGGAGGTTGCCCACTCCCCCCCCCCCCCCCCCAATGCACCCTTCCTTGGCATAAAAGCCAATATCATGCAACCAGCAGGACCAGAGGTTGTCCGCTCTGTTGCTGTGTTTATTAAGTAAATTATTGTTTTGCAATGCTACCAGATTTATGTACCAGAGAAAAAAAATTCTCATTCTTATATTATTCGCAAAAATCAACCAATTCCTATAATAATATTTCTAGGAAACATTTGCAAACAATAGTCTCGTCCCCTTTCACTCATTATAGTAAGACAATTTGTCCAAAACTCTCAGGTGAGTTAAAATACTGAATTTAGGAAACGCTGGCTTAAAGGAGCAGCAAATTAAAATTAGATTAGAATAGCAAACAAAATAAATCAAATATATTGATATCGAATAATATATCATCTATCTTCATTTAAATGCTTCTCCACTCGCGGTTTCTGTGTGTCGACGAACGAGCTCACAACAAATACATCTATATATGCACTTCTATTACAACTTCACACTTGCATTTCTCGGAAACACAGCACGGAAGCAAAGATGAGGGGGGGGGGGGGGGGGCAGTGCAAAACAACATCGCCAAATTGTCAAACTTGGTTTCTACTGATTAATATCACTTGGTGCACTCTAGTGTGTGGAATCAAAAGGGGAGGAGAGTCTTACATTGGAAAATAAACACCTGAGCTGATCAATCGATACTAGTAGGCAACTACACTCTATATTAGCCCCAATTTTAACCTGTCCAGTAGCTCTTTGCATGAATCCTTTTAGCGACACGTTATTGAAATCCTTCAAATCAGACCAAAATTTCAAAAGTACAAATTCAACGAAATTCATACTTGGTGCAAAGACTCACAAACTACACAACATTTCGGCTTAGAAAATAAATGACATTAAATTTCTCAGAAGTAGGCACAAATAAAACTATGGATATTTAGACTTGGACAATTAATGCTTCTATGGCTAAGTTTCAAAAACAAACTAATTGTAAAGAGAATCCAGGTAAAATACTACATATCATATCACATAGCAGTGGTCTTTTTCTACAAGTTGAATTTGATTAACAATTTAGATTATAACTTCTGGATTGGTTGGATTAAGTTACATGTACTGGTTGGAGATTTCGATGTCAGTGAATGTTAACAAAAGGCCTCTTGGTTTGGTCGTTTAGTTACATTGGTTGGCGATAGGTCGAGGAATTACTCATTCACAATCTTGGGTTGGGGCACTAGAGCATTGGTTGTGAAAACGTCCCCTAATATCATAGTGATCCAATAAAACAGGCTGATATACATAGCAAACTAGCTTAAACTTAATTTCCATCGTCCAATCAAATCTTAGAAAGTTCGGAAAGCCGAACATTTTCTATATTCTATAATTATCTATGATATAAGGGAGAACATTCACGAATGACAACCAGATTCATTCGACTTCTAGTGATTCCTTTAGTAGTTAGTAGCAATGACACGATTAGTCCGCGATAACAGACACTAATTTTAAATCTGCACATTGTATGATGAGTGGTTCTGATGCCAGTCACCAGAGGCAAGCGCCACAAGTGAACTTTTCTGTAGATCGTTAACTTAAATGGTTCAACTGCTCAGCAGTATTTTTTTAGTATTGTAGTAGCTTCAACTTTTAAAGTCTAGAGTACCAGAGTTACGGGCCAGTTTTTCATCCGTTTTCTTCCGGTTATTAACTTGGCGATATTTATGAACACACTATCCAGTCTTAACTGGCCCGAAAAACATAATTGACTACAAATATAAGTACCAAAGTTAGTATTAGTAATAATAAGGAAAGAATTACTTCGCATGTTCATTCATGTTTTGGTACTACATGATGAACTCCTGGTTGTGTTTTTATAGTTTGTTGTAGAGCTTTACATTGTGTTTTGGTTTATTTTGTTTCTTATTTCTCTTTTGGCTAGTTGTAAGTCAGTACGATCCGTTAGTTGCGGCGGCGGCTGCTGTTGCTGCACCGTTGGTTAAAGACACTACGTTCCCCGTGCTACCGCCGCTAGACGCCGACGAAGACACGAAGTTTCTCTGCTGTGATTGGCTAGTCGCGGCTCCATTGTTGCTGCTGCTGCTATTCTTTAGTGCCCCTGTTGAATTGTTTCTTCTATTTTGGTTTCCATTGGATCCCCCGTTATTTAAGCCTCTTTTCGTTTTCCTGCCGCTCTGATCAGCTGATCCCTGATTCTGCAGATTCCCTGTGGACGAGTTTTTGGCAAGAGTCGGTCCATTAGAGGCACTTCCTCCGCTGGACGATGACGTGAAACTAGGGTAGCTCTCTGCTGAAGCACTGACTGCATTTGTGTGAATGGCAGGCTGGTACACAAACCCTCTAGCTCCATTGACTATCATCTCCATTTCCTGAGAATCGCCGGTTCCCATCGTCGGCATTGGAACCGACGTGCTCTGAAATGTTTTCGGGGATCCATTCTTTACTAAAGAAGGCCCGTTGGCCATTGACATTGTATTGATGTTTCCAACGGCTCCTAGGTGTCCCAAAAGCATTGCACGTGACATTTGCAGGTTCATGATATGAGCTGGACCGCTCATGTTTGAGGCAACGTTGTTGTTAGTGTACCTGGCACTATTGCTATCCGAGTAGGTGTCATCTAAATGCTTCGCGGTTATTTTGAAACCCGGTGGGAACTCAAGTCCATTTAGTTTCTGAGATGCGTAGTAGGCCGCAAAAGGTGTAGCGTAATTAACGTAGGCATTTCCATTCGATCCTTGCTTTCTATTATCGCCTCCGAGTCTAAAAGACTCCAGTCCTGGAATCAGATCAAAGATTCCTCTCAACTGGCTTTCAGATGACCTCGGATCCACCGTGGCCAGAATGCGGCAAGACGAGTAGCCTAGAGTTCTACAGGCCATGTTGATATGCTCGTATGATGGCAGTACCTGAGCGGTCAAATTGGTGGGTGCGGGGTTGTTTCCAGCTGGGTGTGGGGGACTAATCCATGAAGTTACTGCACCATCGTCGCCGCAAGCAGCCATTTGAAGCATTGCGGTCAGTCCGGCTCCAGCAGCACCGGCGTTGCTGAGCGCGTGGGGGTGGTTGGTAGGTGGTGGCGCCGGTGGGAAGAGAGGCGTGATGGGTGGAGCACCATTGGGACTGAGACCATTCGAGGAGTAACCAAAGACCGGAGGCTGATAGCCTACAAAATATTAAACAAATAAAGCCAAATATACATATACCATCAAACATTCACAAATTTCTGGTGCCATTTAGGATAGATTAACTCCATTGATATAAAATTAATCAAAGCAAAACTAAAGGCATTTATAGCCCAGCTTATGAGAAAATTAAATGCTCATCTATTATATCAAGTAACATATTGTTGAATGCCTAGCTGTGTTTTAATTTTCTAGCTGTTTTTACCTGGGTGATGCATAGAGTGATGACCAACAGAGTCGTTAGGAGAGGCTCCATTCTTAGATCCGTACATGTTAGGCACAGCAAACGAGTTATGCGAGTTATAGGGTCCTACACTATACGTGTACGACTGGTTCGAGGGGATGACCGGGCCTCCCTTTGGGGGTCTGGGATCCGCGAGAATAGCCTTGTACTCCGGAGCAGCCTCCTCCAGAGCCTGGGCTGCGTGACTCGCTCGGTAGAACTTCACATAAGCCACGCCACGTGACTCACCAGATTCCTTATCCTTAGCAACAAGAGCCATAGTAACCGACACCATAACAAGCCATTTAGAAAACTTTAATTTTAAGTTCTAAATTTTAATGATTAAAACAACCACGGTAGGTGTTTACCTTGAGTATGTGGACGTGATCAACGATTCCAAACTTCTGAAAATAATTTTTGATCTGGTCTTGAGTTTGTTTCTTGTCCACAGTCACAAACAGACGCAGTAGATTGTCCAGTTGTTCCTCCTCAGTCGCAAACGCAGCACCCCTACTACTCGCAAGTCCATGGGAGTTAGACCCTCCGGAGGGGTACGACCAGGACCTCTCGTTGGTGCGGCTCTGTGCCATAAGCACTTTGATAGGTCTTTCCGAGTCTTTTACATGTTTGCCGTTCAGCTCCTCCATCGCTTTACAAGCGTCCGATGACTTGTAAAACTTAATGAAGCACACTCCTTTGCTGGCTCGAGAGGGAGTTTTGTCACGTATTATGTAGACATCCTAAAGAAGATGAAAACCTAGTAAAATAAATACAAACAACAAAAAGCATAGACACTTGTTGTGCACGTAGCACAGCACAGAATGTTCCAACCACATTCAAAAAAAATCATATTAGTGTCGAGGTGCGATTGGAGAATCATATAAGCGTGTATAAAGCTAGTGAATTAAAAATAATAGACAACAGCTGTCTCCAAAAAATGAATAACAAACAAACAAAAAAAGAACATTTTTTTAAATTTTTTCCTGAATTATTTTTTTGATTAAAACTAATTTTGTATATCCAAGGAAGAATTAAAAGTAGCTTCTAAATTTATTTTCCACTACTTGAATTTTACACAACAATGTTTTACACAAAACGACAAACAACAGCTCTGTAAAGTGCAATAAAAAATAGATTTCTTAAATTCAAAACTGCGACCTAGAGATTATGAGTCTCACACACTAACCGTTCAGCCACAGAAGCCTAATATAAGATAAACACTAGGCACAAGAAAAGGAGAGAACAGATGCTATGCAATTTCCAATGCTACAGTGGAATTTCCGAAGAAGTGAACACTTTTAATCAACACTTTTATTTGCATGTTAGCTTAGAAAAAAGAATGTTCGTAATAACACACTAAGGTGATCGCAAGTGTAATAAAACCTCCTAGCTAGCTTTCCTCGCTCCAAATTAGAGTAAAATTTCAAATCGTTTATTCAACACTCGGAAAACTTTTTAATATCTTTCCAATCACGACTGTTGAAGAAATCGTCGGCTGATATCCAAAACTACCCCTTTGCAATTCCTATAGAAATCAATTACCTTCAAATCAGAAAGAATCATGCTCCAAAATACACATTAATTTCATTCTCATAACTATCAGATGAAAAGGAGAAAAAACACAAGTTTCGGTAAAAAAAAAACATGATCCAAAAATTCCGAATAGACAAAAAAAACTTTGAAAAAATCCGGGAAACAAAACACTTCGCATGAGCATTAGTAACATATTGTGTTATTAAAAGGCATTATCAAAGGCTTGCTGTAAACTGAAATAAAAATGAACTAAGAAAACTGAAAAATAAAACTTAACAGAGGTATAATATCCATGTTTTCAATTAAAATTACTGATTTCTAGATAATTATATTCCCGATGTTTCAGTGCAGAGTTAGGCTGTTTCTTCGACTCAGATTGCTTGGCTCAGATGTTCGACAAAAACCTTCAGCTGATCTCTTCGATAAAAATGTGAGCGTTAATTTCTATTTCCTAGTCGGTCTATCGATTTAAATTTGGTTCCAAATGTGAGCAAGCTCTTGTTTCCCGTAAGCAAATTTCAATTTTAAATAACATAGGCTTTACATATTGATTTTCATGACTTTGTGAGTTCAAATATCATAGTGAATTATAGCAACCAGCTAAATGGCGTCGATTTAGGGATGCCACACAACCACTCTTGATTGATCTGCCCTGGCGACGTAAAAATTTAAGTTACCTAAAACCAAATCAGAAACAAACGGATCCAATTCCAAAACTCTGATCCACCGCGTAATTTTATGGAAGCAAGGCCTACTAGACGAATTTTTCACTGAAGCGAAAGCTCTCCAAATTAGACATCCAAAACAGAAGAACGAAGTAAACGAGGAAGTTAAACAATTCGATAAACTAATGAGTACAGGCAAAATATCTTGCGCCATTGTCTGCCTTTCAGACAAAAAATTAAAAGGAGTACTTCTCCTAAACGAAGTCATTGAAGGAAAAACATTCCTTAGTATCCTGAAAGAAAAACGCTCCCAAGGCAAAACAGCGAGCACTAACTATATAACTGAAGTAAGTGAAGACAATGCCATACCATCACTCTGGTACAAATAAACGCCAGGACAGTTCGAAAATCAACCCTGAAAACGCACGGAAGCCACAGTCGCTCAGGTCTAGATGCGTGCGAATGGAGAAGGATATTAACTCACTTCAACCAGACATCCAATGAGCTTTGCAAAACAATTTCAAAGCTATCCTATACAACAGCAAGAAAAGTTCTCACCCATGAAAACCTAACGGCGTACAACTCGTGTCATCTGATACCTCTGGACAAACATCCAGGGGGTAACGCCAATTCGTATAGGCGAGGCTCTGAGACGAATATTTGGCAAAGCAATCACCCAATGTATGCAATCAGACCTTAAAAATCTCAGAAAAAATTTCCAACTCTGCTTTGGCCAGAAGTTTGGAATCGAATATGCTATCCACAGCTTGAGGATCGAGTTTGAGAAACCGGAAACGGACGCCATACTACTTATTGATGCAGAAAATTCCTTCAACTCGCTCAATAGAGAAATTGCTCTAAAAAATAAAGAAATCCTGTCCGGAACTACAACATGTCTGGCCAACTCATATAAACAGCCCTCAAATTTTTATGTCAATAACAGAGTTTTGACATCTACCAAAGGTACAGCGCATGGTGATCCACTCGCAATGGCTATGTACGGAATTGGGATAATCCCACTGATCGAGCTCCTGCAAAAACCAAATGTCACTCAAAAATGGTACGCAGATGACGGAAGCGCTGGAGGTGATCTCAGTCTCCGCGCAATACTGGACAATCTGAATGTGCACGAAAAGGCTTCCGGCTACAAGGTGAAGCCTTCCAAGTGTCAACTCATATTAAAGGATACTAGTCGGGAAAGCGTCATAAAAGTATTCGAAGGCACAAATATTACAATAGTAGACGGTTTTAGAGTCCTTGGATCGGTTATAGGAACACCATCAGCATGCGATAAATACATGAGAAGAGAAACATAAAAAACAACAACTACCCTAACAAAAAAACTTTCCAAAATAGCTTGAAAATCATCACAAATTGCATACTTGAAAATCATCACAAAAGAAAATGAATGAAATCGAGAAAAACGTAAGACAGCAGCTACTTCCTTGTATTACTGGTAAAAACCACATAACCGACGAAAACCGCAGCTTTCTTGCACTACCACTAAGAATGGGAGGATTAGAACTCCTCATTAACACGAACTTTTCCAGAAATTATGAGTGGCCACGAGCCATTTGTGATCCGTTACAAAACATTGATCCTGAAAAAGCTGAAACGGAACAAACTCTGATAATTAGAAACATCAAAATTGAGAGACAGAACATCACACTCTCAAAAAAAGTCAAAATTATGAATAATTGCTCATCAGAAAAAAGCTGACAATAAATCTAGCATCACAGAAAGGAGCATCGAATTTCAAATTGGCTAAGCGTGCTACCCTTAAAATACAATTTTCCCTCGACAAATCAGAGTTTAAAAATGGTTTTCATCTGAGACATGGATGGAACCACCAAACACTCCACATACATACCCATGTGGACAACCATTCACACTGACCCACTCTCTACACTGCCCCAAAGGTGGATAGACTCACATAAGACATAATGAAACTCGTGATACTTTTGCGACACTCCTGGACGAAGTATCTCATGATGTTGAAATAGAGCCGAAACTTCAATCGTTGGAAGGCGAAACCTTTCACAACAAAACAACCACTACTGAAGACAATGCTCGACTTGACATCAAAGCAAATGGACTCTTGGAAGACCGTTTCAGCCGACCCTTTTTCGATGTAACAATTTTCAACCCCCATGCAAAATCCTGCCCTAAAACTATATCTGACGTCTACAACTATCATGACTGTCAAAACATTAAAAACCAACAAATAATTCAGGAAGTCGAACAAAGCAGCTTTGTTCCATAAATTTTGCGTGTAACGGAGGAGCAGCACCAGGCTCTACAAAAACCGTCCAGAAACTAGCAGAGAAACTAAGCGGAAAACGGAACGAATCATACTCGGACACATTAAGCTTTATAAAAACAAAAATAAGTTTTGCACTTCTGAGCAGTGCAATCCTCTGCCTCAGGGTGTGCAAAAAACTTTGAAATACATCCAATATAGACAATTCTATCTGTGCTACAATCGAGAAGGGTAAATTTTAATTGACAATTCTCTGGATGCTTTAAATTCGACTTGATTTACTAATAAAATTTTGCCAATGTATTTATATAGCATTGGTATGGCCCTTTCCAACCTGTGCACGGACCGTCGCATGAAGAAAGGGCCCATTTTAATTGAGCTTTTTTTTAAAGTACTGCATCAACAATTTTAAATTTTCAAGGTATACAGTCAATGTAAACAGGCAGGATAAATAGTCAATTCAAAATACTCTGTCTCAAATGAGATTTTTTCGGCATAAAGTAGAAAAAACTGTTTTAAGCCATAATTCAAAACAGGCGAAGCTGTGCTTTGCAAACACACGTGACGAAAAGTAAGTTTTGAACAGGCCTCGAATGAAAAAAGAACAAATGAAAAATTTTTAACGTTACGGGATCTAACTCAAAAAAGCAGCTTGAAAGGCAGACACATTAAAACCAAAACACCGGACGCTAGCCACCAAAAACTTTCATAGTAAAATTTTCACACATGTTTGACTTTAATTCACTCATGCTTAAAACCATTCAGCAATTAAAACGTGATTGGAAGAAAATATGAACATAGGAAATTGTTAAATAAAAAAAGTATATCCTGTAGCCGCCGAAAAAAAATAAACACTATGCCGACGAAAAAACAACAAGCAAGCAATTTTTCGACATCAATTTCGAAAGCTGAATATTTCCAGTGCAAAACTACTGCTTCAGGTCTGACTCGAACCACTGACCTTAGTCGTCCTGGGCTTACATCAAACGAATAAGGTTGATAGCTGGACTGCTAATAACGAAAGCTGAGGAGTCCTGCTGTTTGGGCAAGCGAACATTTCTTGTAACCTGCTGATAATTTACCTGAATTTCGCCATGCGATGAGAAGATTTCTCTGATATCATCCTCGGAAAAAGTCTTGCTACAAACGACGAAGAGTCTTGAATTGGGAGGACTGTTTGTATCATAGTCTTGCATGTTGTGATGAGGCTCTGCGATTGAGTCAGATCTAGACGACTCCATAGTGGTATAAGTCAGTCAATGCAAGTGGAAAGTCTGAAAATTATACCGTGATTTTTGAAAACGTAATTTTAAACGTGTTTAACCCTTTTTAAAATTCATTTTTAGAAACCTTAATTGCTGAAGAAGAAAAAATACTTTTGTTGCTATACCAAAAAGGCAATGCATTAGTAAAACAGTGCAGAACTATTATTAGTTACGTATTCAGATTATTTACTCAAAAATATTTTGGTTGGAATGGGTTAAATTATTGAGTAATCTAACAATCGCCCGGAAGTACATATCGACGGAAAATAAAGCTAAGCTATAAAACGACTGACCAGCGTCTAAACTAAGCTCTACATGCTTTTCACCGTCTCTACCAAAGCCAGTTCTTTTGGTGGTCTTTCTAACATCGGGTCGACAAAAACGTTACTGTTCTCCGGCTTCGACCAGAACGCTCAAATTAACTTGTTTACATGCAAAATTAGTGAGCTCATGGCTGGGTCTCAGTATCCCCAGACCACGAGGTCACTCCTAAAATCAGGGCTACAACTATTTATTGAATATTATTGATTTTGTTCAGTTGATAAAAATCATCATCTCCATCGAAGATGGATCAACCCTTTCCCCCAACTCCTAGCTTCTCATCCTTGCAAAATGAATTCAAATGTTAATTAAATTAAATTCAAGACATAACTGGGAAGCTAAAAGTTTATATAAAAGTTTCAGTTCAACTCCCGAGACCCCTCCGGATTCCTGAATCCGGGGAAATAACGTCCTTATCTTCCTTCGGGAAGGTTGTCTTCTACCCTTCACCGTTGTTGTGAACGGCCTTGCAACTATTGTAGCGACACAATAGTTGCAACTCGGAGCGGTCTCTGCTAACTCTGCAATTCGTTGTTGTTTTTCAATCACTATTCTCGTAGTTATCGCTATCGCAAATATTGTTTTTCTTATTTTTTCTGGTTTTCTTCCAAAATGGCCGATTCTGACGCTTCTCAGAAATACGACGTTAAAATTCGAAATACCAGAATATTCCAGCCTTCACAGTTTGACTAATCGTTCCAATAACACTGCTAATACTTCAAAACTGCTAATTCGGAAGGTTAGCTGCTAAAATTTCGAATCCATCCAATCTGCAGTTTTGTCCATTCTGGTCGAATGTCACATGCTCCCCGGACAGCCCGGTCAATGTCCCCATTGTTGAATCTCGCAATGTTTGTAAAATTGGTACAGTGTCATCGAACAGAATTTACAAAATGCACGAAATTACTTTTATCCGCGTTATATCGACTCACTGCAGAATATAAATGGCATCATACTACTCTACTATAGCCTTCTAAATTTATTCACTAATCTGCATTTTGAGGAAATGACTTAAGATGAAATATTTTTTCTGACTTCCAACTTCTATGCCCTGATTTAAAACTTTTTCTCCTAGGATTTAAAAGGTGTTAGTTTGCAGGACAGTCCTGCCAACCATCAGGCTAAAATTATCCTCCTATGCTTCTTCCCTTCGGAAGTTTTAGTAGTTATTGTCCTGAAAATTAAAATGAAGGAACTCTGTGGTTAGAAAGAACAATGAAACAAACTCCATCTTCAAGAGATTACCCAAGCCTTTCATGTCACCACAAAATGATCAATTTTCCTAGTTGATTAAAAACAGTCATGCAGGCTGGAATATTCAAATATACTCTTTACTCAAGCCTTTCTAAATAAATAGTAAGTGTCACTAAAGCCACTAAGTAAAATCAAAAAGCAAAACTATAAATGCATCAAATTCTTTAATGCTCAAAACTCAACTGAATGTTTCAGTTTTCAATTACAACTTGGTTGCTTAGTTTCTCACTTGAGTTTTCGTCACACACATTAAAAAAATTTCTGAGTTTTAACTTCATCTCTTTTGTCACTTCTTTGTTTCTTCTTTTTTCGTCGTTTAGAAGTTCTAAAACTTCTAAATTCTTCTAATTCTCTTTCTTTTTGCATCTTGTTTTTCTTCCACTTGTCAATAGACTTTATTACCCAATAATGGGGCTAGCAGACTACAAATACACGTGACCCGAGATTAAGAGCGACAATAAGGACATTTACACTTTTAAAAGAATGCATCGTCGTATTCATCATTTAAAAACACCGGCTCAAAAACCATTTTACGAGAACAAATTTATAACCACACCAAATGGAATTAACGTGGAGAAAACTCCCGGTGGCAGCGGGGCAGATGGGAATGTATCCAATCATCGGTGGTGGATCAGTTTATTGACAAAAAGCGGGTCCGGGTCGCTTTTGAACGTCTCAATAATAGCTGCAGCATTACCCATTTGCACTGCTACTCCCAAAAGTTGTCTTAGATATTCAGTTGCTCTTTTCTCTCCTGTGGCAAGAAATATCCGTCTACCCAAATCATTAACAAAATTGAGGGTGCTAGGGCCGAGTCCACCTAATGTCTCTACTGCAACTGGCTGGAAGAAGTGTGTCTGTGCTATGGCCGAGTATTTACTGACTTTTCGAGACTCGGCAAGTTCAGCGACACATGGACCAGGAGTAGATGATTGGGTGGAATATGAGGCGGCTAGGCAATGCACGCAGGTAAAATCCCACGCCATGGAGCGACCTAAGCGCCAGGGCATCAGGGTAACGCCGTCTGGCCTTTTGTTGTCGTCTCGGAACATACCTGCTGGTTCCAATTCTGCTGGAATATGAGCACTCTGCAGGGCTTTAAGGATAATCTCGTTGCCGAGTTGGTGCCTAGCATGGCGACTCCGACTGCGAAGACAGACGAACGCGTGTGACCCGTCCGCTTCAACCTTGGCGCCACACCAACAGGTGTGTGAGGAGCAAATTGGTGCACCTAGTCTGAAGCTAACGGCGATTCTCAGCTGCTCGTCTGACATATGAAAACCTAGAGATCTCAAGGGCATAGCGTTGAGCCAGTCCATGTAATCTGGCGGCTCCATGTAATCTGGCGGCTCCATGTAATCTGGCGGCATCGCTGGCTGTGGATTCCTGGAGAAACTGGCTAACTTGTTTTTCCGTGATTTTTTCGTATATTTCGCGCTGTTTAAACGATCGCGGGGAGCTCCATCTGCTGTGAAAGCATCGAAGTTAGTAAGGGCGTCCGTTATTACGTCAGTTTGAGAAAAGGCATAGACCTGCTGTGCTAGATCTTTGACTGAAAGGAAAGACGAGAGGTACGAAACGACAGCCAGTTTAGTAGGAGGTAAGATACCAAGGCCTCCAGAACGGGCTGGTAGTGAGGCTTGCTGCCACGCAGCAACATCTATCTTGATGTTTATGATGTTTTCCAGAACACTTATAATTGTGTTCTCAAGCGTGAGAATGAGGTCAGTTCTTCGATAGACTTCTGATGTTCGAAAGAAGTACATCAGCTTAGGAATGAGAAAACAATTCTTCAGCAGGAATAGAGCACAGTGTGAGGATACGTGTTTCAGTCGCTCTTTCATCAGAAGGATGGCTTTCAGCTTCTGGTTGAAAATAGTTTCAATCGAGATCGGTCCCAAGGCAGAGCAACACATCGTTAGCTGTTCTGACGCTGTTGGAAGCAGTCCTCCAACACTTCTGCTCTTCTACCCTCTGTTTACAACAAGGTGGGGGACCTACATTAGGTTCTCTGTTTCTGCAGAAGCTATTGTGAAGGCACAACGTCACGTTTCTCTCCAAATCTTCCTTCAAAGTGTCTTCTTTCTCCCTTCCATCACGTTCACTTGTCCTGGAAATTCTCTTCACAGCGGTGATCACTACATTCCGATGAGTCACGAAAGCTCGCTTGAAAGCTCCTGCCCCAATGTCCAGCTGATACCCACTGTACACTCTGCCGTGCTTCGACATATGCTGTTTGACATATTCGTACAACCATGCAGTCACGTTGGCTCTAAGCCATGGCATCAATCGTCTTCTTGCCCATATCTTTTTTACTTCCATCGCAATGTTCAGAATCTTGCACATGGTCTCAAAAAGATCTAAATCTTTTAGACAATCCAATTTCTGCAATTGTTTTCTCGTTGGCGCCTCCTGTCTATTGTTCTCTCTCACATGAGCTTCCAGCCACCTTATCGCCATCATAACTCCCACTATCACTATCGTTATGGGCCGTGATGAGTCTGGTAAACCCATGGAGAGCAGCTCTCCAGAGTCCCAGATCAACACCAGATTACTACACACGGGATACCACCATGTTTGCAGCAAGCAATGGCAGGGAAACTCATCATGCGTTAACATGATGCTCCTCCAATTACGCTTTCCCGAAGCTTCCAGTAATGGTTCCACTTCCATCATCACTCGGTGGACTTCATCATTCTCGTCTACTGTATTGTAATCTGTAACGATTGATCCTCTCTGTTTTTGTCTTTCAAAATCGCTGAAGTTCCCACTCACGTATCCCATGAACTTCTTTCCCAGTATCGATTCCAACTCCTCCTTAGTTCTATCTGGAATTGAGAATATTTTGCACAATAACTCATAAGATCTTTCTGACATTTTCGCTAATCTCACACACTTTGGCACTGAGAAGGCTTGATCCACAATCGTTCTCGTACTTTTTACATCCACAGCTACGAAATGCACTGGGTATCTGCTCTTGCACACTGGAGCTAACGTCGATCCCACCAAATATCGCGCTCCCGATGATCTGCGATAAGTTTCACTGTGCCTGATGTTCATTTCCGCCTCGATCGTTTTCCTCCATTTTCCTATGTGCTTTTGCTCAGTTTGCAAAACTCCTGGGAACACTTCTACACTGATGGCCGTGACCATCTCTTATTTCTGATCTAGATTCAATAGTGACTCTAAAGCACCAAACATACTGTAGAATCCTAGTCCAGTCACTATATTCACCTCGGTTCCTCCATGGCAATCTGCGATCAGTTCCGTTTCCGTCCTTGATTTCATCACAACGTTCCCAAACAATATCGTCAACTGCTTGTGTTGTCTCTTTAGGGTTTTCAGGCAATCCAGGCTTCCACAAACGTGACCTTCCAGTCCACATACTTCTGCCAGGCAGCTACCAGGTTTAACCCAGTCTTCTGGTCTCCAGCCAGGCAACTCCACTTTGTCTTCCCCGTTGCTCTTAGAGGCTGTTGACATCACATTTTATATGATCTTAAGATCACGCAGGTTACAGTCCGCAT